ATAGTTCCCACACTGAACCCGGCTTGCGGTGGGGAATTGGATGAGAACGATTATGAGTGTGTGCTCAAGGAGAACTCTTAAACGGGTTCACCTGTCGTGTTGTTTGGAGAGCATGGGTGGTACGTGGGGGATTTCCCACCACTTCGTTGCCTAAGGTGATTCCATCTTACAACTGTGCACCTGGGTAAAAGGATAAAGAGCCGGTGACGACGTTTTTACTATCTCTCTTCGGTATGAGATTAGCCCGAAGACCTTATCGAGATCAGCAGGCTGGGCTCTTGGGTGCCGTCAACTTTCTGGCTTGTGAATTTATGATGAATACCGAATTTGGGTTAAAAATTTATACTACCGTATCTCCCTCACCCTCTTTTATTTTGCTATAATTTTTATTGTGATAGTAGGAGCATTATCGAGATGTCTCCCTGGATTAAAAGTATAGTGCAAAGCGAGTAAAAGCAGACCCTCAAAATAGGCAAACGCAATCTTGAACTTGTCGACCAAAACAAGGAATTTTTCCAAAAAAAAACCTAGGAAAGGAGGAGATTCAGAAGGAGAAGAATTCTTAGGTTTTTTTATTTAAATTAAGACTTGTATGAAAAAGTAGTTTAATTTTTAAAAGTGAAAATTTTGGTGAGAGTGAAACATGTGATAGAATGTACATAGTAGCAGACTGAAAAATACTTAAGAGTATCAATGACTAAGATATATGAATAATCAATAATAATCCTATTATGAGTACAGTATACCAGAAGGTCTACAATACAATCAATTCAAGTTCAATATCATATTACTGTCAATATGCCTCCTCAAAAAAACAAACGAAAGCGTCAGCATCAAAATGGATCTCAAGGTGGATGTCCCAAAAAGCCCTTTGATTCATCACAATCCGCAATTCATAACACAAACGATTTCGATAAGAGCAGACAACCTAATATCACTATCTATGGAGACTACGAGCCAGAACAACCTACGGCAGCAAATTCTTCCTCTAATTCTCACACACCACATTCCTTGAGAACTAGTAGCAGTTGCTCAAGTGGAAATGAGAGACTCTCATGGACTACTTTATGGCGAAGAGGTTGTAAGGAGCAAGAGAGACTGAGACTGCAAGCAGAGCAGAGACAGGAGAATACAGTTGACTGTTGGGAGGATGTTGATAGACTAGTAGAGGAAAAGTGGCTAATGATTACCAAAGAGATGAGGACAACAGTCCTTCAAAAAGGTATGCTCTTAATGATAATTATTGATAACTGCTTTAAGAATATTACTAATATCAGTCATGAAATATAGGTGTTTTAGATATTTGTCGAGTAATTTATCGGAAATAGTGAGCCTCTGGTAATATGCACGATCTTGACCACTACTTCCAAGTATTCCAGTTCATGAACTGGCTGTTGAAGCACCCTGAGATGCCATGGAAAACCGCTGCCCAAAATACTGCCACAGGTTGGGGGCGGAGTAAGCATACAGCAAGACACATAATTCGCTGGGAAAAAAGTTGGATCAAAACCAGAATGATTATATCTAGTCAGCGAGGCAAGCATGCTAAATCACAAAGCATGCTAAATGATGAAGGGACATTGATTGCAGTACGTAAGTACTTAGAAGGTGCTGGAGAAAGTAAGTAATCCAGTGATAAATCTTTGGATTTATTATGATTTCATAACTAATTAGGGATTAATATCATAATAGATATTTCCGGACATGGACTTGCAAAGGCAGTAACTGATTATGGGACTACACGGACTAGCAAGTCAGATGCTGAGATTCGTGTATCCTGTATTTTTCAGGCCCTGGTTGAAAAGCATACAAAGGGTAAAATGAGTATTACCGTATCTACAGCCATTCAATGGTTGAAAAAGCTGGGCTTTGAATGGAAAGAAGTTAGGAAGGGAGTGTATATTGATGGCCATGAGAAGCCTGATGTTGTCTTCTATCGAGAGCATTACTTTCTTCCTAGATGGAAAGAGCTGGAAGCGCGAATGCCAAAATGGCTACCTTCAGGCATCTTGGATCAAACTCCTTTACCAACTGGGGAGCGATTGCTGATTCCTTGTGCACATGATGAGTGTACATTTCATTCAAATAATGGTGTACACCATCGCTGGATTCATAAGGATAAGCATTTTATTCGTAAAAAGTCACGAGGGCAAGGACTTATGGTATTGGACTTTATCCTTCCATGCAATCGACTTGAGATACCATCCTCAATTCACTTACCGACTATCCTACAATCTCGTGACATTGAGCCTATTCCTGGACTTCAAATCAATCCTTGACAAGCAACTGAGTACATCAAAGTGGGTAATGGATCTTGGTGGAAAGGGGACAACCTAATAGACCATGTCCTTAATATCGCAATTCCCATCTTTGAAGCTACTTTTCTAAATGCACAAGCACTATTCCTTTTCGACCACGCAACCTCTCATACAGCAGATGCACCAGACACACTTCGTGTATCACACATGAATATGGATCCTGGTGGAAAGCAACTTCATCTTCGTAATGGTTGGTTTTATAAATCAGATGGTGTTACTTTATATATTCAGAAGATGAGCTTTGAATTGGATGATATCTCTATTCCCTCAAAGTGAAGAGGAATGCCAAAAGGATGCAAGAGGGTCTTGCAAGAATGTGGTCCCTGGCCAGAGAATGGATTAAGGCATGATTGTAAGAGCAGGAAGAATAAGAAAGATAAGAGTCATGAAGGTGATTCTTGCTGTGCTAGGCGGTTACTTTCAGTCCAGCCTGACTTCTTTGCATCAAAGTCATGCCTTCAGGAGGAGATTGAGAAGAGAGGTCATCTTTGCATGTTTTTTCCCAAATTCCATTGTGAGCTAAATTGGATTGAGTATAGATGGGGAAGGGCAAAGTGGTTCACCAGAAAGAATTGTCAGTATAATTGGCCTTCATTGGTCAAGACAGTTCCAAAGGCTTTGCAGGATATTCCTTCACTTTTGCTTCTAAAATACTGGTGGAAGAGTACTCGGATACTTGATGCCTACTCTACTGGATTACAGTATGGAACACAACCATTCACTAATGTTGTATATAAAAGTCATCGTCGTGTATCTTTAGCTCAAGGAGGTAGTTAGAAAACCTTTCTTCTTAAATACATTAATCTAATTCTATCAATTACTGCTTTTTGCACCTCGCTTCTGCCGTATCATTTCACCCTGCTCAGTTTGTCTTGGCAATTCCGGGCTCAACTCCGATCGGTTGCCACGGAATTCCTGTTTCACCGGAGGGTCCACCTTTAGGCACTTTGCACCGTAGTGATGGTTTTCGGAGTTGAGAGATTCATTACCGCGCGCGCGCTGTGCCCTGTTGAAGTATCCCCCTCCACCCCTTGTACACCCAAGACATACTATGGGCGCATGTCTGATATGGGTGCAAGTGCCTTGCTAATAACACAATATTAGCGGTATTAAGGGATTTCTCCCGGCCCTGATACTATCACAATGTCTTCACAAAATTCTCTTTGGGGAAGGGTCTCCGGCACAGCGGCTGCGAATTTCAAATATGTGTGTTGTATCCCTGCAGTTCATGGTGTTTACGGTAGTTTTTACCGAGGAAAAATCCAAGAACTAAAATTGTGGTGGACATAAGGTTAGAGTTGAGCTCATAAGGTACATGGATAGAATTATCGCTTACTCCCGGGAGTAAGCGATAGGTGGTTGTTCTTCCACCCCCCCCCCCCCTAAATTGAACTCTGTAGCAAACGGGGCTGACAGATAGAATTATCGCTTACTCCCGAGGAAGCGATAAGCGACTTCCTTGACTCCCTCCGTTGAGCAAAACACCCGCTTAACAACGCAACGGATGAATACAGTAATGAGTTGTAAAGAATTTATGGACGGGTCTCAGAGCTCACTTTAACGCCACACGGCATGGTTACCTCTTCCTGAAGTCCACAGGGGCTAGCGTAGCTGGGTTGCAGAGGTCAACTCCGTAGAACACGGTTCAGTTATTCTGGTTTTTAGTATTTTTAGCCGGGAGGATCTCCTCGTTTGTATTGATGGCATTGATTTTTTACTTCTTCTATATTTGATACCAATCGAGTTAGGGGTAGTGCTTCCAATAACTCAGGAGATCTTTTCCTACAAGGGGTGGGCGCAGATATCGGTTCATAGGGGTGAGGCTATATACGGTAGTTTCTCAAGTGGTGAATACGACCGCTTCCCTTGCTAGGCAATGTTTCCCATCACAAATTTAGAATAGCTATCACTCATGGTATTGATCAGCAACTCTACTCGTATGTTTGATAACGTCGTCGTTTGGGTTGCCACCCTTCTGTTCATAATTGGGCCTGTTATCCATAAGGACTATCATGCTTCTTCTCGGCCTAGAGAAATTGCATCCGCGAACTCAATAACATCCGGAACTAGTAGGGGTCGGACGACCACATGCTATCACAGGCTCGGGATTTGGGAATTGCGCCTCGGGTGTGAAGAAGACTGGGAAGTGCTTAGTAATTTGAACAATCTCCGTCTTGAAGCGAGTCATGAGCCCAACCATCATTTTCGGCACTTGTGATGTAGAGTGATCACGGGAGAAACATGGAGGTGAAACGAACAATAACTACTTGAAGGAAATACCTGTCTAGATAACCAACCTGATGAAGCCCGTAAATAAAAATTCCGATAGAAACGAGGACAAACCCAACTTCTCTCCCCCCTACTTGCAGATATGAAAATGCTACCTGGGCAAGACTTTTTCGACAACAATTGAAAACAAAACCGGAAGGAAAGGCACAGGTGGAAAACGATTGATGTGAGAAAGAACGAGGGAAATTGGTAGGTCAACTTTGAAATGGTGGTTTAAAAGTAGCCGCGGGTACGGTAGAAGAACAACTAAGTCTATAAGGCGAAGGTGGAGAAATACGCTCTTTTGCAAAGTTAGATATATTAGAACGAAGAGAAAGGGGGAAGTTCGGGGCTCGTTACCAACCCGATATATTAGGCACCAGTATGTATGAAGGGGGCCCATAGGAGAAGGTTGCCTGGCTTAGCATCCCGAACTTTCTTCACAGCTTTGTGAAAAGCGATAGCGATGCGCTGGTGGTCGTCTTCACCGTTTCCTCGATCTTGTAAAAGTAGGTTGTAGAAGTCTCTCGCAACTTCACTTGAGGCTTGGTCGTCTGTTTCCCACATGTTTGCAAATGTGTGGCTGAACCCCGCGAGCTGGAATGCGCTGGCTAGGTGTATGACTTCATCTGCTAAATCGGCGGAGGGGTTTCTGGCTGAGGAGCAGGCGGAAAGGTACGCAATCTGAGCACTTTGTGTAACCAATTTGGATATATCTCGAGCCATGAGCTTATCAGCACTGATCCTATCCTGGTTGAACAGAACCAGGTGGCTATCTGAGGGGTTGGAACAAGACACTCCATGGCAGGCGAAGTGGACAATTTCGTGGTGCTTAATTCTCTCGAGGACCTCGACCGGAGTTGGACTGCTCAACAGTGTGGTTTCAATTGAACTTTTGGCTGAGGAATCAAGTATATTTAGAACTTCTTCGCTGACTCCCGGTAGCTTCGTTGCACCTGGTGTTTCCGGCATCGGAATGAGAAGTAGGCGGGGATTCCGTTTTCTCAGAATTTTGGCTTCCTTGGGGATTTCCACCGAAAGAGAAGCGTCACATTCCGCAAAAAGCTTAACCTGTTTTTCGCATGCGTAGGAGAGGGCTCTGATTGTCGGGATATATGTTGAGATGGCTCGACTGGATGTGTTGCGTGTTGACCCTGGCGAATGGTCGCCGGCCGCATGGAAAGGTGCCATACTTAATTGCCTTACCCCAATCCACCAAATCCGCTTCAAATTGGGTTCATGACCACCACTAATAAAGACGCCGCTGCCTTCGAGGTGGTCAAAAACAGGTCCTACTGCTGCATCCCATAACCAAAGGAGGAGGTCTTTCATTCTTTTAGTATCCTGACCTCGCTTAATCGGGGATCCTCCTCCAAAACTAGCCAATTGATTCATCCGGCTGAATGTTTCGTCGTAGCTTAACGCCGGAAGTTCTAATGAAGTTATAGCTGAGGTGGTGACAATTATGGCATCGCTCCTATAAATAGTGCTGTTGAAGACAACGATGGGACCATTTGCCGCCATTTTCATTAGCGTGTCCTGGGCAGGGGGGAGCAGGAATCCGTCATAACCAGGTAACCCGCGGATGCGCTTTAGAATATCTTCCATCTCATTGACAGCCTCCCAGTGTCTAGATATTGAACGGCTTTGGTGTTGATCTGACGCATCATCACTTGCACAGTTCATACGATCTATTGGAGAGTCAATCTCAACCCGAAGATTGTCAAATTGGGCGAATACGAGCGGGTGGTCGGTTTTAAGATCGGAAGCTTCAGATCTTGCATCGATTGAGAGACCCATTATTATTCCACGTCCGAGCTCTAGCAACTTAAGACTATGATAGGCTTCTCTCCCAGCCTGAAGAGCCATTGAAGCAGCAACCGACGCCAGCCCAGAAAATTCCGCCAGTATGTGCTGTTGGTCGTCCCGGTTTAGGAATCGGAGATCAGCACTTGGCATCAAGTTCACGGCATCCTCAAGTATTGAACTTGATTCGGGAAATTTTGTAGCTGAATACAGTAGAGAAGCTGCTCTGATAGCTGCCTGAACCCGCACCCTGGGCGGTGAGGTGTGGCAATTGTATGCATCGTGGTATAGACTCAGGCTTTTTTTATGGTCCCCGACAGAGTATAGGCTTGGGAATCTCGGTTCGAAGAGGCTACCTAGGATAGTGCACATGCCTGCACGATCAGGGTGATCCTGAGGGGTAGCAGCTAGTGCCTCTTCCATGTGCTTGATGGCATTTTGAAGGTCTCCAACGCCTCCTATCCGCTCAAACCTCGTAGACAGCATAGTTCCCAGGTTATTGTGCAATGCAGCTCGAAGTGGGTGATCTTGGGGGGTGGCAGCTAGTGCCTCTTCGCTGTGCTTGATGGCTTTTTGAAGGTCTCCGAGGTCTCCTATCCACCCAAACCTCTTATATAGCGTATATCCTAGGTTACAATGTATGGACAATCGCTGGGGGTGATCTTGGGGGCTAGCAGCTAGTGCTTCTTCGGCGTGCGTGACGGCTTTTTGAAGGCCGCCAAGGTCTCCGATCCGCTCAGACCTCTTAAAAAGCATATTTCCCAGGTGACTATGTTTACTCGCTCGACCGGGGTGATCTTGAGGGGTAGCAGCTAGTGCCGCTTCGTTGTGATTGATAGCTTTTTGAAGGTCTCCGAGGTCTCCTATCCGATCAAATCTCCTAGACAGCATATTTCCCAGGTTCTCATGTCTACCCGCTCGAGACGGGTGTTCATGAGGGGTAGCAGCTACTGCCTCTTCAGCGCACTTGATGGCTTTTTGAAGGTCTCCAAGGTCTCCCATGCGCTCGAACCTACTGAAAAGCATAACTCCTAGGCTGTTATGTCTATCTGCTTGATCCGGGTGATCTTGAGGGGTAGCAGCTTGTGCTTCTTCGCTGTGCTTGATGGCTTTTCGGAGGTCTTCGAGATCTCCTATCCGCTCAAATCTCTTAAAAAGCCTATTTCCTAGGTGATTATGTCTATCTGCCCGATTCGAGTGGTCTTGAGGAGTAGCGGCTAGTGCTTCGTGGGAGTACGTGATTGCTTTTTGAAGGTCTCCAAGGTTTCCAAT